CCTACAATACATGCAACCTTGTAATAATTCAAAGATGGACTCTAATGAAGCAAAATAGGAAACATATTTATATTTTTGAACTTTGGTGTTGGAGAAGACTCCTGAGAATACAGAGGACAGCCAAGAAAACAAGCCAATGGCTTCTTATCTTTTTTATCAAAGAATCTTATCAAAGAAATAAATCCAGACTTCTTACTCAAGGCACAAATGATGAAGCTCAAATTATTCTATTTTGGACACATTATGAAGACTCAGCTCAAATGCTGGGAACAGGTAGAAGAAAAGAGTGTCAGCCCTCAGGCTGCCATCCAGGGGGACCCTGTCCATCACCATGCCCGCTTGGCCATTCTTACACGCCACTAATGCTGCCACACTGATGTTGCCTCTCTGATGTCGATTGAGCCTGTAGCTGCATGTGGCTCTTCTACTCGGGTGCAACTGCTTACTCTGATGTAACTCTTTTGCTTGGATGGGGCTAACCAGGAAAGAGGCTATGATGACACTGAGTGGGGGTGTGGCTGAGGGTGTGGGTCATGGTGATTGGTGATGGTAGGTGGGTGTCATCTGGGTGGAGTTGTGGGTGGGGCTGGGTGGGGTAATGGTATGTATGTATGTATGTATGTATGTGTGTATGTATTTAGTGTCACAACCCCTGGTATGCCCAAATATGGGAGGAAGCCTACTGTTTCCTGGGTGATGGTGTTAACTTGGTTAGAACTGACTTGGATTTGATTACCTTTGTATCATTGTCATTTAGTGCTGGTTATCATGTAGCTTCTTAGATCAGTGTTTCTCAACCTTGGTGACTTTCAGTCCTGTGGACTTCATCTCCTAGAATTCCCCCAGCCAGCTATGCTGGCTGGGGGATTCTGGGAGTTGAAGTCCAAAGGACTGAAAGTCGCCAAGGTTGAGAAACACTGTCTTAGATAGAGATAAAAGTTTTTCACCAAACAAACTGAATCTCTGTTTGTATGCAACGTGAACACCGGAATGTGACATTATCTTTAGTGAATTGTGCAAACAAGCATCTGCATTTCCTGCTTGGATGAGGAGAGCACATCTTTCTCCTTCTATTCTGGCCACTTTTTACAGAGGCACAATTGAGAATGTTTTAAGAAATTGCATCACTGTTCAATTTGGTGGCTGCAGTGCCTCAGAAAGTGGTAAAGACAGCCAAGATGATTATAGGAAGCTCACTTCCTGTCATTCAGGATACTGCTTATAAGCGCTCTGTGTTTAGATCTGAAAACTTTGTTAGAGACCCCACACATCCTCTTCACGGTCTGTTTCTGTTGTTTCCCCTCTGGGAGGAAGTTTCAAAGTATTTATAGCAGGACTACCCAATTCTGTAACAGCTTTGTTCCCTATGACAGGGGTGTCAAACTCAATTTCATTGAAGGCCACATCAGGGTTGTATTTGACCTCTGTGGGCATGGCCAGGGTGGACATGGCCACCTCAACATCACTCATTGAGGCTCTGTTTTTGGCTGCGGTGGCCTCCTGCAACCCTCTACGAACTAAAACACTGGCCGCTTAGGTTGTTTTCGGCCGTGATGGCCTCCTGCAACCCTCTGCCAACGAAAACAGAGCTCGGGAGCCTGGGTGGACCACACAGCTTCCCAACCTTCATTTTCGCTGGCAGAGGCACTGTGGGGCAGTTCTTCACTGTTTCCAGGGTGGCCCTACGGGCCAGATCTAAGTACCCCACAGGTACTTAGGCCAGCTCCAGCTCATGGGCCTTGAGTTTGACAACCGTGCCCTATGCCATCTATCTGATAAACTCGCAAGCTTTGTTTCTGTCGCCATCTACATGTATACGTCCAAACTAGACTGTGTTGTTTCTCCATGTCA